GAAAGTAACTCTTATGTCATCTCCGTTAATGTACAACAATAAATCCAATGTTCTCCAATGTATAAGACTAACAATATTTTGAGTTTTAACAAAATGTTTTTTAAAGGAATCACACATTTATGATAATGCAATGTTTAGCAAGCTATAACCAGTTGTTCAAGGGTTACCAAACATATTCTCAAAACTACAATATGGTTATGCAAATCTGCAATTAATCCTTGTTAAAATAAGTGTACATGCCAAGTTTTTCCTGATTTTCTATGTAGAATGGTTTAGAAAAGAGGACCTAATTTTCGTTATGCAAAACATTTGCTGTTGCATTCTCGACGTAGACACATTTTTACCTGTATTTAGCAGATAAATCAGCCCAAGCAATGTATGTATTGAAACGTATTACGGCAACAAGTTACATTCCCACAAGAAACACAGAATATTTTCCAGATATTCAATTTCTTGATAACTTAAAAAGTCGATGTCATAATATTATATTATATATAATATTTACAAGTAATTTCAATCAAGAAATGAAAATGCCATGTCATCTTGTTGCTTTCTCATATACTGTTCTCCCTGACCATATTGAATCGTTTGTAAAAGAATATGTTTCTAGCAATATCATTGCTAAAAATGATTCATACAGCAGGTCCGGCAGGATTTATTAATAGTTATAATATGGACATGATATTAGTCCAAAGTCAGTGATCTACATAGAGTTCGAGGTTCAAAACTGTATAACTCTATGTCAGACAAAAAATGTGTGGAAAGATGTGTATGTGCCAGTTCACTTTACAAAAAGTTGTTATGTATAATTAGTGGATAGAAAAAATGGGAACGGTATCACTCATTCAACGAATGTGTTTGCTACATTCACGATGTTGACACTCCTTCACCAGTATAGGTAATATTTATGTTTCTTTTTTTTTAAATTGATCTTCCTTTTTATATCATAGCTTCCATCAAAGGCCAAACTGCTGAAGATGACATTGGCCAAACCCGTGGATACTTCAATAGCTGGCAGAAAGATCATCAAGACTATAATGCTTCCTCATCTCATGTTCTCTATAGTCCAATACAGAAGCCCAGTCACAATAGTTTCCAAACCCACACCCCATCACACGCCTTTGTAGAGCATGGGAAGGAAACAGGTAAGATCAGATGCTTTTCTGAAAAATAAATATACAATTGATTGTCATATGTTTTTTAGAATAACCGCAATTCTCGTATTTTGGGATATTCTGAATTATCATATGGATTATCCTGTAAAAAGTTGTTGTATGTTTAAGCTAAAGAATATCTTGATATCTTGTGTTTGAAATCTACTATATATCTCTGTGAAAATTGGTTTTCCTGTTTATATTATAGCTTCCATCCAAGGCCAAACTGCTGCAGATGATATTGGTCAAAACGGTGCATACATCAGTGACTTGCAGCAAGATCGTCAAGATTGTATTGGATTTTCATCTCGTGCTCTCCATACTCCAGGGCATGAGCCGTGTGACTATATTGACGAGAAAGGAAAACAAACAAGTAAAATCAGATTGTTTTTTTTAAATACGTATGAATATAGCATTGATTGTCATTTATTTATTAAAATGACAGAAATTCTTGTATTTTAATAGCGTTCAAGTTAAATCAAGAACAGAGCCTGAATTGCAACACCCATTTTGATAGTTCGGATTTATGCTCAGTTGTGATAGCTCTTCTTACCACTGCTAATAAAAATTATATGATGATAAATCCCA